TACACACCCAAGAAATCAGCCATGTACAAATGATCTCCCACCAAGCCTTGTATGCTGGGCATGCTTGGTGGGGATGGGAGTGGAAGAGGAGCAGACACTCTAGACTCATTTTACTGCATAGGTCTCTTCATTCCATTTCAACCAGTCTTCTTAGGGATGCTTAAGACCAAACATCCCCGAAAAATCTATCAGTTTTCCAAAGTATAGCCATTTGGTGAGATGTTGTCAACCATTATCTATGACAGTGTTGTACAGTTGTAGCAACAATGCATTTATCTAAAACAAAAGCTCCAATGGAGCTTATTAAAAGTAAATACAATTATATCAAAAAATGATGATTCAAAATGTCATACTTTTCCCAGAATAAAGAATATACTTAAAATATTTTTTTAAAAATCACTGGATGAAAAAACCACCACACATAAACAGCTACTGGTATTTTAATTGGTAACTAAGTTATTTAAAAACAAACCCCAATGTACCAATAAAAATTCAGAAAGAAAATGCCTCATGTGACTTTCTGACCCATCCCTTTTATTCTTGAGCCTTTGCTGCATTCCAAGTAACATTCTTAAATCGATTATAAAAAGCAAGAGGACACTTCCAGTAATCAAAAGGAGACTTATACAAGAGTGACAAAAATAAACATAATTTCTTCCCTTCCTCTTTCACCTCCCCTCAATACAGGATTTTTGCCATTGATATAAAGTCTTTATCACTTTTAGGAAAAAGGCTCCTAGTGTTGATTTTCCCATTTCTAATAAATAAAATGGTGATTTTAAAAGTTACTCATGTAACTTGGAAAAACATCTGGAAGGATACAGCTAAGAAACTGGTAATAGTAGTTAGCTTTAGACTAAAGATTTGTGATGAGGCTAGGATTTTTACTTTCCTTACTTTGCGTATTTGAATATATGCAAGGAATATATATTAGTTTTATCAATCCAAAAAAATCAGTAAGCATATTTTTTAAAAAGAAAAAAACCCCAGCCTGTACTTTAGATCTAGCATGGTGATCTGGGATCAGTAACTTAATCACTTTGAGCCTCAGTTTCCCTACTTATAAAATGACACAGAGATGTCATGAGGAAAATGGCTTACCACATGGTAAACACACATTTCATAAAGGTTCCTTCTCTGAACCTCAATTTCCTTGCCGCCAAAATGAGAGAGTTGGATTAGTTGTCCATGATCCTTGTGAGAATTAATATTCTGATTCCTTCTTTTGATATTCACAGATAATTATTGCCAAATGAAAAATACATGTCTTTACTTGTCTTCATGTAATTATTTTTCTTTTATTTCCTGAAGAACCAGGAAGCCAAAAACAGATGAGCAGTACCTCTGGAATGTCTGGGCCACTCCACCCTGGGCACCTGGGAAATGACAGGGTATTTCCACTCATTAGAAGCTCCCTGATGAGAAGAGCCTTCCTTATTAGGAAGAGGATCAAACTTCAGTTTTAATAAGCCAGTGTGTGCCATTAAAAATATTATATACTCTCAATTTTAATCTTTGACTACTTCAGGCCTCCTCTTTAATTAGTTTGCTTACCTATATTTGCAATCCAGATACTCTGATCAAGCAGTTATGCAAGTCTTCCATAATTCGTTATATCATATGTCATTGGTTAAAGTCCAATTAGATCATTATCATTTAGGGAAGGTTGCATATTAAGTGAGTTTACAGAGTTGTCTCCTACACATCTGAAATGCTAATAATTACCTGTCTTTCCGGGTACCAGGGTAATAATTCTACAGTTCTCTCTTTGCTTTTCTAAGATTGAAAAGTAGCATGGATCATAGCAGTGGTGATAGTTATCAGTCTATTAAAAATGTAAAAATAAAAAAAGGGAGAGAAAGCTACAAGATTGGGAAATACTACCATTTGAAATCTCTCAAAACATGACATGTTTTTAATTTAATTAAAATACTGTATGGATACAGAATCATAGAGAGGAACACCCACATGGTTTAGAATTCAAAATATCTCATGTATGAGATTTCTTAATTTAAGCCTTTTCTGTGCCTGCCGAATACCAGTGGGTGAAGAACGCCTTCAATGCCGTTTTGGCATTTCCACACCCTGTGTAGCTTGGTAGGATTCTTTACCCTTCCAGGTTATAGCAATCCCAGCTTTTCTTGGAGAAAAAAAGCCTATTCTATTTGTTTAACATTAATTTTAAAAGACATTATAGTAGAACTGAACATAAAGAGACTTTTTGTTCTCTTATTTATGAACAAGTTTCTTCGTACACAAATTAGGGATAATACAACTCGCTCCTTACTGTATGCGGAAAGCTGGGGGAATTTTGTTAGTAAGAATAATAAAAAAACTAACATTCTCTGAATATCTACTATTTTCCTAGCATCATGGTAGGCACTTTGTCCTTTTTGTCTTATTTAACCCTAACAAGACTCTATGAGGTATTCTCTACTTTTTTTCAAATGAGGACATTGAGACTTAGAGAAACTAAATAATTTACCATTCACAGTGCTGGTAAATGGTGATGCAATGTCTGATTCTGAAACCTTGATTCTCATTGTTCTACTTTGACTTTGTAAGAGAAAGATGGAAATGTTCTGAAGTCTGTTGCATCGCCTACAAGTCCTTCAGCAATTGAAACCATGCTTTTGTGCCCCTCTCCTTGAATACCCCCACATCCCCTTCTGCTGCAGTAATACAGACCTATTTGTAATTCCCTTAAAGTCCTGTTCTCTCAAGTTTCTTGGTCTTTGTTTATGATATTTTCTTGGTCTAAAATTTCATTATCCCACTACTGCCAGACTAGCTGCCTTCCTCCTACTCATTTTTCAAATCTTAGTTTAAACTACTCCACCATACTGCCATTACTCTTTTTTTTTTTCTTTTGAGGAAGATTGGCCCTGAGCTAACATCTGTGCCCATCTTCCTCTATTTTATATGTGGGATGCCTGCCACAGCATGGCTTGACAAACAGTGCGTAGGTCTGTATCCGGGATTCGAACCAGCGACCCTGGGCCAGTGGAGCGGAACATGTGAATTTAACTGCTGCACGGGTCCCCTGCCATTACTCTTTATATACTCATTATGGCAGGGATCTTATTGCATCATCACCTAAATTGTGAGCAACTCGAAGGAGTCTTTTTTCATTGTTGTATTTTCAGGGCCTTTCAAAGTATCTGTTTCCCAGTAGGCATTCAATTAAACATTTATTGAACAAGGGGCTGGCCCAGTCCCACGGGGGTTAAGTTGGCATGTTCCGCTTTGGGGGCCTGGGTTCACCAGTTCAGATACCAGGTATGGACCTATGCACTGCTTAGCAAGCCATGCTGTGACAGGCATCCCACATATAAAGTAGAGGAAGATGGGTACGATGTTAGCTCAGGGCCAGTATTCCTCAGCAAAAAGAGGAGGATTGGTGGCAGATGTTAGCACAGAACTAAACTTCCTCAAAAAAAAAAAGAACAACAAAAATATTTATTGAACGAATGAATGAAAGAGCGCATAAATCACTTATAAATTCACGCACAGAAGTCATCAGGGATTTGCAGAGGGACCTATATTACTTTATTCCACATAAGCCTAAAAGTTACCAGAAATGAAAACTCTTCTTATAAATAAATAAAACTTTTCAACATATTCTTATTTTTCTCCAGAATAAAGTACATGGATGGAGTACTTGTTCAACACATATTTGCTGAATTAGTGAAGAATCTTAGAAAAGTATATGAAGCCTTCATAAACTAGTGCATATTCTTTCTCCAGATTCACTTTGTGCCACTCCTACTTTATCCTGGAATAATGAGTAACAATATGCAATTTCTATTCAGGTATCAAATATTTATTGAGTCACTACGACGTGCCTGGCACACTGGTCCACTGTTTCAAACAGCCTTGTTCCTTTTCTTGCTATTCCCTCTTCCTGGAAATTTATGACGCCATTCAGCAAATACCATATTTATTCTAGTTTTCCTACCCTCCTTGATTCAGTTCAGTTACTTCCTCTACAAGGCCCTCCCTGACCCCTTTAGCATCCGGTGCTTGTCTCCATCTTAGCCCCGATTACATCAAAGTTATTTGTATCTATGTTTGTCACCTCTTATCCTATCCCACAACACCCCGGTGAGCCCTCTCAGGGCAGGGATTGAGGTTTCATTCACCCCTGGGGCTCAGCACAGAGTTTAGGACAGGGACAAAAGCCTATGTTTTAAGTATTGAAATGAACAATAGTTACTCTTTATTGAGCAACATGGATTATCATCTTGAATCCTCAGAATAATAATTGTAGTTCTTACAATTCTCTTGTGTTGTCTCCATGTTATAGATGAGAAAACCAGGCTTGAAAAGGTTTAGAAACTTGAGCAGGGTCACACGGTCGTGGAGAATGAAGCCACCATTGATTCTAAATGAATGACTCCTTCTCACCACCTTTTCTTGAAATTTTCTTTTAGATTTTGCATTCTTTCGTTCCTTCGACCAATGACTCCTCATCTAGCTGAATATCATGAGTGAGGAGCGATATCCCCTTTTTTTCATTATAAATTGATTATCTCTCTCTAGAAGCAACGTGAATTTAAACTTTCTTTAGTCACACTTTCCGGGGTAGAATCTGCGTTTGGAGCCCTGGGGGACACCATAGTTACCAGGGAGCAGAATGGTCATTCGAAATGGAACGCGGGGATTAAGAAAGAGTTTTCCTCTAGCTCGGATACACAGAGGACACTTGAGCAGGAGGAGGATGGACCTTCTCATCTTAGATTCACAAATCCTGAGACTTGTGGGTATATGGTTGTTCACACCTAAGGCGGCTGTGAGGGACAGTGTTGCCCACAGCTAAGATGGCTGCTAATGAACATCTCCTTTGGATGGCCCTGTTCTTTTTGCCCGTCGCCACTTTCAACGAGAATTATAGTGAATAAAACTTAGTAAACGTTGGTGATTTCTAACCAAGATGGTAAAGTAGGAAGTTAGTACGTTTTATTCAGAAAACCTTCAACAGGTCAAATTTTTTCTTGCCATTAACCAAAATGGTGGTAAACGTTGCCTCATGGTTTGAAGCTTTCGGCCCTTAACTAAGATGGCGCCCGGAGGCTTGTTAAAAATTCCCTTGCCCTCTTTTCTGCCCTCGACTATCATGGCTTCCGCGGCGTCGATCACGTGATGTCCCCGGACTACGGCGCGGGAGAGGGGGTAGGAGGGCCCTTGAAGGGTGCGCGTTCCCGTGGCGGTGCACCGGGTAGGTTTCAGTCAGAGTCACTATGGCGGCCGGCGCTGGCAAGGTAAGCTGAGGCGGCGGCGCGGCGGCGAGGGAGGCTGGACCCGTCGTGGCGTCCGGACTCCAAATCCCCGCAGCCCCTCCGCGGAGAGGTCGACCGAGGTCGTGGCCCCTGGCGGGGACTGGCGGGGGGCGGGTTGAGGGAGATGAGGGCTGAGGCGGGCGGGCACCGGCGCCTGACGGCCGTTTGTTTTGATGTTTCCCCCACCAGGTCGGAAAGTTTCCTGCCTCGTCGGGCACAGCCTGAGCGTGTCCCACCGGCCGCGAGTGGTGGAGGCTGCGGCGGACCCAGCCCGGGGCCTCCAGGCCTCTCCCCCAACCTCCGGGCCGGCCTCCCTCCCCCACCTCCTCGTCCTCCGGGAGCTGCGGCTGCTGTCCCTGAGATGCGACCCTCGCGGGGGCGACCCTGAAGGGAGGCGGCCGGTGTGCTGAGCAGCAGCCAGGAGCCCAGGCGTCCAGGGACCAACTTCCTGCGGGCGGAGACCCCCGAGCCTCCCCGGGGTCGCGCCTCGCTCGGTCCGCACCGGCCTGCGGAGCCGGATCCCCGCCCTGGTCGCGGGGACGCCCGCCAGGTGCCGGGGAGTCCCGACTCGGCCTCTGCCCGCGCCTCCGCCGGTGCCCGCTCCTCGCGCCCAGGAACCCGGCCACCGCCGCCTCGGCTCGTGCTGGGCCAGGGACCCCGTGCCACCTCCCGGGCGGCCTCCGCGCCGCAGGGGCCATGCAGACTGTCCGGCTGGCCGTGTAGACCCCCTCGCCTCTGCCTTTCCACTGTCGAGGCCCTCGAGGACGGGCGGTGGCTGCCCAGAGCTGCTCGGCTACACCTTCTTTCGGCCCGAAAGGACCTTGCTGGCCGCACCGAACCGACCCTTCCTTCATGCTGCAGTGCTGCAACATTTCCGCCACCGAGGGGGAAAGGCGGCCGCGATCCCAAACAAAACACAAGAATTGGTTTGTGACTCATCTGCTTGGATACCTCCAGTCCCCAAACTGTCTTCCAGGAGTTTTCTTGGCCGAAGCTGTCCGATGTTTGAGCCTTTTCTTCCCAGGGAAGAGGATGGACTGAAAGCTGCCAGTTGGGGACTTTTTGTGATCAGGGAGCTGCTGGGTTTTAAAGGAGGTAATGGGGCTTGCGCTGGCTTGTCTTCCCACTCAAGTGAAGAGTTGTTGATGTTCGCTGGTTATGCTTAGACCATGCACAGTTTGTTTTAATTTAAAATTTTGGGGGGGATAGGGGTAGAGGCTTGTGAAGGGCAGTCCGGATCCGGTGGAACTCCTCTTTGTCCCTTGATAGGAGAAACACCCCCAGTCTGTCCTCGATGCCGTCAGCCTTGGCCATCTTCACTTGCCGCCCGAACTCGCACCCGTTTCAGGAGCGTCATGTCTACCTGGACGAGCCCATTAAAATCGGCCGCTCCGTGGCCCGCTGTCGACCAGCGCAGAATAATGCTACTTTCGATTGCAAAGTGCTGTCAAGGAACCATGCTCTCGTCTGGTTTGATCACAAGACGGGCAAGGTAATGTCCCCACGCTGTCTGACAGTCTTTACTTTTCCTTTCCCTTTGCTCTTTCTGCGTAACGTATTCAGGATCCCAGGGTTCGCACGCGCAGGAGACTTTCAGCAAGGCCACGGAATCAACTTTTTGTGTGTTGGATTCTAGTGGAAATTTAGTTGAGGTGGTTGAATGGAAAACAGAGAAGGTATTGTAATTAAATGCCTCTGGAGGGCGATGGCATCTTGATAACCTGGTCATTCCCAGTGAAATCCCAAACCCTAATTCCTTTGGGAAAACTAGATAGTGAAACTTGGCTTCTTGCTTTCAGTCTTTTTAGAAAGGTGAATTCGCAGTTCAGCGCTTGATGAAGCAAGCAGCAGTTCTCAAAGCAATGCAGGGAATCCGCGGCCAGTGTTACACTGGGGCTCAAGTGTCTCAGTGGTGAGAGGTAGTTAACACATAGCTTTTAGTTGAGTTCAGATCAGGGCCTTTCTAGTAAGGACAATGCTTTGTGTGAATTTATGTTTTTGAAGGATTTGATACATATTTACCCGTGTAGGAGTAATTTGCAGTTATCAAAGGCGATTTAATTAAGCATGAACAACTGTTAACTTTACATTTTCAGTTTTGTTTGCATATTGGGAGAACATATACCTATTGCTTTTGAAAATCACTTTTTGATGTTCCCTGCAGCATTTACTAAAAATTCTTAATGCATACTTACAGAGGTGATATTTAGGAAATTAATTTATTTTCTGATATTATATCCAGTTCTATCAATTATTGCATTACCTAGATGTGATAGGATGATTTTAGTGCTCTTCATTTTAAGCGTGACCATTTTAGCATTTTTATTTAGGCACTCTAATTTACTATACATGTGGGTCCTTGTATTTTAAAAATATAAGAAAAAAAATAAAGACAGACCTTTTCAAATTTTAAAACTCTTTATGTGTTGGGAGTATATACTAAAGAGCTCACCTTTGTGCTACTGATTTCAGAGTTCTAACTTAGAGGGAGTTATGTAAGACTAATAAGAATATCTCTGGTTTCATCTCCTGACTTTTTGCTCCCTCTTTCTGAGTTAAATAATTAAATCTTTTTTAAAAAAAGAATTTAAGTCAAGTGGTGTTTTGAAATGAAAGAAACCTGAGCCTGAAGAGGAAGAGAGAAGGCAGTACTTCAGTTGCTACTGAATCAAGGAATTATTAAATAAATTATTTTTCAGAGAAAGGAGGAAAAGATTGCCCAAGTGCTATGTGCTTGCATAATACCTATACCCTACTGTGTGTGTGGGATGAGAACTGGAAAATATGTTAATTTTTCTGTGTAATGCCAGGTGATCCTTTACCTGGGTCAGACCCTTTTTTTTTCTCCCTGGAAACTAAAGTTTAGGTACCTGAAAGACTTCATAGATTACCCGTAATCATTTAAAGGGAATATTCATAGAACTCATCTTTCCAGAAATTAAATTCAAACGTCAGTTAACTGCTAGTGTCTTAACTCAGCCAGCTTTTATGTATTTGTCTCTTTTTGTCCCTGAGCAACAATTAAGGTCCAGCTTAATCAGATAACAGGTTTGCTTAAAGTACACACTCTGCAAATGCACATTCTTTACTTTCATTCAGTACTCAAAAGAGACTTAGATTTTTTCTTTTACTTATTTGAAAAATAATGATTATAGGAACAGTGCTTTTCATGGCTATACTAAAACCCCCACAATAGGTTATTTTGAGATGATTAAGAATAGGTCAGTAGTGAGTGTTTATTGTGTATGTTAGATTGAGATGACTTGTTAAAATGTTGAATGGAATTTGTTATTAGAAAAACTTATCTTTAAAGGATACACAGCTTATTTTTACCCTTTTCACTTTTTGTTTTCCAACTGTATTACAAGCTAAACCATCTTCAGGATATGAAGCCATTACTTTAGGTGTAGATATAATTATTGATTATCGTACGACCTAATCTAGTTAAAACAAATGCCCTGTCAGATCTTGCCATGTGATCAAATTGTTTTAGAAATTAATTATTTAAAATTTAGGTTTGAACAGACAGTAGGTTTTTATTGAGCATTTATTATCTGTCAGATATTGTGAGGTACACAGTTCCAAGGAAAACCCACAGTTTGACCAAATATCGTTAATTGTTTTCTCTGTGTGAAATTTCCAGTTTGAGAATTTCTGCTATAATTGTCTCGTAACAAAGGTCCCCAGGCCTACTATATATTCCCAGCAAATTCCTTTGTACAACACAAGAATCCCCTCCTTCTATAAGCATCACCTCAGGCAAGTTTTTTAAAAAGACATCTTTAAACCTCAGTTTTCTCTTCTGGGGATAGTGATGGTACCTGCTATTGTTTTGAGAATCGAGATTATTATGTAAATCATTTAGCACCCTGTTCTTGGCCCTTATTAAGGGCTCAGTACTTAGGGAGGTGGGTGTTTGGGTTGAGGGGAAGAGGGAAACAGCTCTTTGTAATTTGTTATAGTGCTGTGGAGTCTTAGGAAGATAATAGGAAATTTTTTTCTTTCATGCGATGTCATATGTAGAAGTAATGTTTTAAATTGAAACATACAGAGTTGAGAACTTTGTCCAAATTGGCACTTTACTTGGGAAGTGGAAAATTGGGGTAGTATGCTCTTTGGTTGACTTTCACTTTGTGATTGTTGCATTCTGCATTGGTCATTATTGGAAGCCCATTAAAAGCTGAAAGAAATAATAAACACTTGAAACTTCCTGATTATTCAATCAACACATGTTTATTGTAGAAAATTTGCAAAATGTCAGTACATGGAAATCTAGGTAATACCTTTTAGTGCTAAGTTCATGGAATGTGTTATGGTACTTAAAACCTGCATGTTGGAGGGTGACAGATTTGCCACAAAGTGGAATTTAATAAGCTTTCCCAGATCATCTACTCAGGGACGTAGCAGCTGGATATTGTGCTGGTTGGATGCTGGCCCTGTGTTTCGTCCTTCACTCCTTTTTGGAGGTCAAGCTCTTTAAATTAGATGGCAGATAATAGAATGGTTGTTAATCTTTCTGTTGACTTACGGTGCCACTGAACAAGCAAATCTGCCATATGGTGGTTACATAGAAGGCAGAGTGAGTTGACTGCCTCCTTCTGGTTTGGATGATCCTATTTGACTGAGGCTTTGTGGACAGGTGTACTCTAGTGCTTGACATGGTAGTGTTATTTCCAGTCTCACTGTAGTTTACTTAGTAGTAGGAGCAGTAATTGCCTATTTCCAGTTTCGCTTTTTTGCTTAAATTCAATGCATGTTTTTGAGCACCTCTTCTATCATGATCTGTTTTAATGGAGGGCCTAGTGTTGAGGGGAGAGGAAATGACAAGAACTAGTAAGAAATTGTTGTTCCTTCTTTCTAGGAGCTTATATTTTGGATAGAGAGTGTGACTCTACAACTTGAGAGCAGTTGATTGACGTGAGATAGGATTATATAAGTTTAAATGGCAAGAGAGTGATGGTGTTTGAATTAGACTTTAAAATGGGGGTGTATAGATACGAGTTAAGTAACAGTGCTTTTTGGAGTTGTTTGTGTGTTTTAAAGGATTGAGAGTGGCGTAAAACAGACAAAAGCAGATAATTTTGAATGAATTTGGCATCTTCCAAACACTGAGGAAACTGTGTTGGATTGGAGAGTTCTTTTGCAGAGTAGCTATGGGTGAACATCTATTCTCTGTGATGTTTTTATGTTTGTGCCTTGTTTTTGTAATTATCTATCAGACCCTGGAAGAGAGGATTTATGCCTTATGTGTCTATTTCTTATTTTGTATAAAGCAGATGTTGAATAACTGAAGCTGACTAGATAGTGTGGAGTTGTGGAGTGCCTGGATTACCAAGCTCAGGTCATGGACCCATGGGATATGGAAGTCCAGGGAGAGTTCTGTGCAGAGCACTGACTTAACAAAACCACCCTGTAAGGGTGATAGAGCAATATGCAGAGAGGCCTGGAGCAAGGGGAAATGGGTAACAGCTGAACTAACACTTGTGGCACTATGTACCATGCCCTGTTCTAAATGCTTTACATGTTAACTTATTTACTCCTTAAATAAATGTTTAAGATGGGTGCTTATTTTTCCTTAACCTATGAGGAAATTAAGGCATAGACAGATTCAATTAGGTTAACTTGCCCAAGTTCATATAGCTAATAAATGGTAGACCTGGGATGTGAACCAAGGTATTCTGATTCTTGACTTTAGAGTCTGGAACCCAAGCTCTTAACTACTCTGCTATTGCAAGGCTTTCTATCAGTTTAGATATGATGTCATTTTGTAAGGGCATAGACCAGGTTTGCAGTAGGAATGAAAATGATTAAGTGCCAGAAAGTGAAAGAAGACAAGTATGTTAACTTGTCTATTAGGACTTCAGCAAAGAGAGAGGTTCTGTATGGACTGGATATTTTAGGGAAGGTGTCATGGATGAGACAGTTTCATGGATGAGATGCAATTTGAACTAC